ATGCAGTGGTAACAAAGCAGGCTGCCTTTACTATCCGGGAACTGGTTTTCCCAAATCAACTATGGGTCCATGGCTAACCAGTTCACTGTTGAGAGCCTTCCATCTCTTCAGGCTGTAACATTGGGCTTATACCAAAAATAAACAGATATTTTCTAACATTTCCAAAGCATATTACAGCCACTCAGAACATTCACATAGCCGGAGCTTGTCATCCCAAAGAAATCCAAAAGTTAAAAATTCTATAGCCAAATACTGAAAATCTCAGTGACCATAGGGGCAACTCGTGAACATCATCTTAAGAAGCATTCATAAGGTACATGACAACAGGACTCGGAAAAGACCTCCTGCCATTCTGCATGTAGATACTGCTGTGCTCATCTGGAAGGCACGAATGGAAATGCTGCTGCTTCTAAACCCATATTGATATTGTAAGTACTAAATACATAGCTATGTTGTTCACTTCTACAAAGCTAGTCTTGGTGGACAGGACAGATTCTTCAGCTAAGTAACGCAACTGGAACTATGTAAGAACCTATCAAAAAAACCCCAACAACCCCAGGTTCAAAGACAGCAAGAAAAATTAAAGATAACATAATGTGCTCAATCTATAGCACACGTGGCAAATCTAATGAGTAACCATTTGCTACTAGTAATGTACATGATGTTTTGTGGATAATCAGATACCACAGAACATTCTATACTGATGTATAACACAGCTTCAAAATTCCTGCTCTGCTTGCTTTCTTAAGCTCCTAGGGTGAGAGAACTACTAATCTGTAAGGGTATCTTGTGCTCAATTAATTTTATGATTTATGTTAAGCAAAGGTTATTTGTTTGCCAAATAAAATGTAAAATTAAATATAACTTTTTGTTTGGTACTTGGAGGAGCCAGGGTGTCATTTTACTGCCTTATGTAGGTGGCCGCTGTTTTGTTTCCCACTTCAGTAAGATCTTCACGGCAAAACTGCATCTTCCTATCTACTTACATTAAATGGGTAACAACAAACGCTGAAACAAACACAACTTTAATAAGTTCACAAGCATATAAAAGATTTGTCCACCACTAGCAACAGACAACTAACAAGGTGCAATATGATAATCTTCTTTTCTCTTGAGGAAAAAAAAACCCAAACAAACCAACCCCAAAAGACCCCAAACAACAAAAAGAGAACTCCCCCAAAATACACATCCATAACATTGGAGTAAAGGAAACACCTTTACCATTCGGTGGTCTACGATACCTCTCAGACTGAGTTTGATGGCATAAACCTTAAGGCATGTAAATACATGAAAAAGTAGGCATTACAAGCCAGCAATCTTTGCAAAGTTCTTTCTACAGTCCTGTGACAGTACACTTAAAAGAAAATGTAGGGTTCTACTGAGGCAGACCAACCAACTTACTCATTTAGCTAAAACACCTGCTATCTGGCATACCAAATCTGCCAAACATCACCTCCCAGAAGTGTGCAAGTGTCCCTAAAATAAGGCTAAGAACCAGAGAATACCTCTCCAAAAACTGTCACAGATGGCTTGGACTTTGCCATTGACTTGACATGGTTTTTTCCCCTCCCGGAAAATTACCAATTCCCTGTCTGCTGCCAAAACAGCAGCAGCTGTTCTCCACATTCGCCATCACCACCACTCCATGTGGCATAGCTTCCTTCAAAACTTGCAGGGAAAACCGACTCCAGCTTACTTCTAACATTGACAAACATTGCTCAGTGAGGTAACCAAAATGCTAGCAGGCAAAGTCACAACTCTGGGGTTTTTTTTTTAATTTTTTTTAGAAACAAACCATGATTTAGATCTTTACTAATAATTAGTTCCTATGAAGTATGCAACTGTAAATAAAAAAACATCCATATGTCCATTATTAAAGCTTAAAATCTTTTTTTTTTTATTTACCTCTTGATTTTCTTTTTCATTTAGCACCCATCTTGCAATGCATATTGTGTGAAAGAGGTATGAGAGCAGTAGAAGGAAGTAGGGGGGGGAGAGACGGGGAGGGAGAGAGGGTGTGGGGGAGAGAGAGAGAGAGAAGCAGGGCCATGTAAAATTCTTACATGACACTCTAAGGCAAAATTGATCAGAACCTGAAGAACCTTCACATCTGTCATTTCATTAACAAAATACCAAGAAATCTCTTCCCCTCTAGATTAAAACTTCCTTTAAAATTTAATAAACATAGCGTGCAACACCTACTGGACCCAGTCTGCAAATAGTCAATTTATATCAACTTCTGCCATGACATCCATGGCTTTACTCTAACAAGTCTTCCTCTCTGGCAGTAGAACAGTCTGTTCCAGATTGGCACAAGATGCTCCCTTCCCCTTTCCTTCTCCATACTATCCTCTAGAAGAGTGCAATTTTGGAGGCAGCTATGTCACTGCTCCAAGTATTGATAAGCAGCTTGTGAAGCTCCATGCATGAGGAGCACGAAGGAGAGGAACAATGAGAGCTCTGGTCTGCATCCTTTCTTTTGAGACAGCTGCTTGATCCGTTGTCAGCCCTACAACCCAACCTCCAGCAAGCCAACTCAAAACGGCACCTAGCAAGGGAATATTCTTCATTCTGCAGCTGAAATCACAATGCTTAACATACTCCCTCCAGACACACATGTTCCTTTGGCCTGCAAGCTGCATGTTGGGAGCATGTGCTCAGTTTGGCAGAGCAATCTACAGCTGGCACAAGTTCTGCTTATGTTAGGAGCAATCTAAAAAGAAAGATTCCAAGAGAGATGCTATAAAATCCAAGAAGCAGAGAATGTGAAGGGAATAAGAACACATGTACATAAAAGGTAGAAAATACATGGACAGGAAATTGTGAGAATGACTTGTAATCAAGCTCTGTATCTTGTAACTATACTCCAACTACAATGCAAGTCAGCTGAGTGAAGAGACGAACAGCAGCAAAGGATATGCAAAACCCTGACACTTAACTGAACCCAAAAATCTCGGGCTGTCGTTGCCTCAGAGCTCACATATCTCACATTGAGGTGACAGAGTAGGATGGGACGGGAACATAAGCCTATTCATGTACATACCTAGAAGTACTGATGTGCCTTCTCCATATTGATCTTTTCATTAAAGGTGTACTGCAGAACTGAAACGAGATCTCAAGAGATTGCCTGTCCAGTGCTCCACTCCAAAGCAAAAGCTTGCCTTACTTGTCCCCCTCAGTACCACTCCCCTGGGTGAGCTGCTCCAGTGCTCAGCTACGCCTACATCTAGAGTTCCAAACATTCAACCAAAGCAAGTCCAGAAAGGTGAGGGTAACATTAATTTGCAGCTGGAGATGAAGGACAACCACCATCTTCCCACAAATGTGAATACTGTTACTGTGCCCTCACATATTTTCTAGAATAAGTAAACCCAGTTCTATTACCCTTTCCCAGAAAAACAGGATTTTTAAGCTCTCTACTATTTTTGCATTCTTCTAGATTTCCATCAGTTGCATTATTTTTCTTAAAGCCTGCAGCTCAGAACCGATACCTCAACAGCCCTGAACAGAGTAATAATGACAGCCCAAGTTTTACATGCAATTCCTATACTAATACATTTAATACTTGCATTCTTTGTAACACCACTTTGTTAATATTATTCTGCTTATGACCTGATTATAGACCTCAGTGTTAGGTCTGGCAAGTAACAAGGAAGCTTAATCAGTTACTATGTATTTTATATTGATGCACTGGACTTACTCTTTTTAAATATGCCTTATTCTTACCAAAAATATGAAGTTTAATGCTGTCCCCAGAGTGCTCACAACCCCTCCCAGACTGGCATCAGTATATTCCTTATTATAATCTACGATCCTAGCTCAATGAAAAACAGCAGACACTGACACTCCTACTGAAAGAAGTAACGTCACCCCCTTTCTGTTCCCAGTTTGTGCCTGCACTCACACCTGCTTCCTCCTTGTGCTAGCACACGTGTAGCACAGATCAGGAACTGATGCAAATGAAAGCCAGACAGCTGAAGTGCCACAAAACTACAACCTTACATCATTAATGGAAATATTGATCAGTACTAGATCCAGAACAATTCCCTGATATACTTCATGCAACAATTTGGCACAACTGTTTTTCTGAGAAACTTGCACTGATTTTTGCTAACCACCTTATCCTGATGATGCTTGCAAACTAATTTCTAAATACACAAACATATCTGGTATCTTTCCTGCTACCAAAATAGCTGCTAATGAGTCTGTAAGTTTCCCAGGTTCTGTCCCCCCCCTTCTTTAAGGGCAAGTATTCCTTTTTCCCTTCCTTTGGCTATCTTACCCGTGCTTGAATTCTCAGAAATCATCATTGATGGCTCAGAAATTGTCTCAACAGTCTCCTGGACTATTCCAAGGAGAATTTCTCCAGGCTGTGCTAGCCGAAGTACGTAAAACTTTTAAATTACTTGTTGATTATTAGATGCGTACCAAAAAATGAGGACAGCAGAGTGTTTTATTGCCAAAGTACAAAATTCATAGTGTTACAAAAAGTGACTCGTGTTCCACTTGTGTGCATCACCACATATAAAGAGCCTCCCCGTAAGTTAACTCATATAAACAGCAGCATTGTTACATTGGTAATAATCTGTCTCCCAAACAAAAGAACAGCCTCACATTCAAAGAAAAGATACAAAACAAGATGAAGGGGAATGTTCTGTTCCTATTTGTATTGACACTCCTTTGGAACAATTACATGTTATGCTCTGCAGCCATTCCAAACTTATGGCAACAAAACATGCTGTATGGGGTAGAACGTGAAACTCACCTAGCAGTGACAATACCCTTACAGAATGAGTATGTTCCTCTATAGTGTTCCTATAGCACTAGCATGTAATTACACTTCATATATAGTGATGAAACCTAGAGCACACCCAATCTAAAACCAGGACCAAAATGTACCAGATAATGTACCAGTGTTCAAAGGCCAGTGAAACATCCCTAAATTACTGTAGCATCCGGTCTCCAAATGTTGGGTTTTTTGAACTTCCACTGTTTCATACCTTTCGAATCTCCTCGGGCAGCGCATGAATGGGGATGTGCTGCTCCATGGCCTCCCGAAACTCCACGGCGGGGTCAGGGAAGCTGCCAGAGGTCACAGGGTCAGAACATGCCGTCAGCAACGGGGCCGCACGTTTCCTCTGGTCCACACGCGGAAATGCAAGCACACG